GACTTTGGTATCCCCAAATTGTAATTTGCATGTAGGGTTGCCCCTTTTGCAAACAACCATACTGTTTCATTTGTTGTTTCAGCATTATTCATGATTATCATTGTGTATCTCCCTGAGAAGCTAATTAAGATTTAATCTCCCTTGTCTCTTTTCCTTATTCTGAATTCTATTTCACTAGATTAGCCTCCTGGTTTTTATTTTTGCATTGAAGACGCCCATCAAAATGGAGTCATTTTTTCTGTCCGTCTGTATCGTTACTGATGTTGTTGGTGAAAACACGGATTTAGACCGAAGAGAATTTTAAGATTATTTCTCCTCAATATTTCGATTTACTCTACGTTTTAATTTCTCTATTAATTGAAATGGCTAGATGTAACCGTAAGTTCTATGCTAACAGGTTCTTCTATTGCATTATTCGCTTGTGGAACTCTCTTCCGCCTTCTTGTTTTCAAGTCAACTTTGATCTTTGAAAATTTAAAGTGAATGTCAATCGTTAATTTCTGTCTACTTAATTCTTGTTCTTTTATTGTTCTCTCTCCTTAATAGTATTTTTCTCTATCACTCAGTAAAATATTGATTCCTAGTGGCTTTATTGCTTTGCTTGGGGTGAAATGATTAAAAAAAAACAGGTTAATCTGACCATCCAAAGAACAGTTATAATTTTTAACTTTCCATACTTCAATTTTATATATTCAGCATGCAAGAAAAGGAAAGTTTAGAAACAATCATACAAGCACTCTTCTTGCAATTGATATTTAGTCTTTTCTTCTGTCTTTCCTTCATTACTTTCTGTGGAACACTATGTCATTTGCATATCTAAAATATTCAATACTAAAAATTGTTCAGCACAATTTACGACATTTTAATAGACAACTCAAAATTCCGGAAAATTAGATCTCGTGTGCAATTTGATTGCACTTCTCGTAATGAGATTTGTTAGAAGTTTAAACTTATGGTTAGAATTCGTGATATCTGTCCTCTAAGGAAGGATGCTGAGGATACCATGGTCCGAATATATGAGCAACGTCGAAGTTTTAGAGAAAATGAAAACAAAAAGGAAACTTATACTGAACATCAGCAAGTTGAGCTTTCTAGGACACGTAATGAGGAAAGAGGGATTGGAAAATCTGATACTCACAGGACAGAGTGAAGGCAAGAGAGACATACGAAAACAACGCATAATATATTTAGTGAGCTTGAGTAAATGGATGGCGAAAAAGTGTTTAGGAGAAATAACAGAAAGACAAAATTTAAGAGCTACAAGGGACAGGAATGTGTGGAGAGCCATGATCGCATACGTTCTGAGGGGACACAGCACATAAAGCAGAAAGAGATTTATGATAAAATCAGCTCTGAAGTTTCACAACAACCCAAAATGTACAGTCTATCTAAGACGTACAAGAGGGTCTTATATCAAGACCGATTTTATCAATGATTTGCTTCTCGAGACTTTAAACTGATATATGATTAGCCAAAATCTTTAATCTTTTTAAGGTTGTGTTATAAGGAATAAAGTGTCGCTGCCGACACTTATGTTTGAACGTAGGTCGCCAATAAACAAACACAGATGATCTCATTATTGAATTAGGTAGATCACTTGACCTTAGCGGAAACGCATATATAAAGGAAGTCGCTATTCTTAGTCTCTTCCCTATACCACATGTTCGCTTTCTCCTCTATCTTCTATTAGTATTCGGATATCTACTCTTTTCACTATACTAAGTACTACTAGTACAAGTATTATTCGGAGACGTCTTACACCAGTATTGTTCAACAGCATATTATAATTGGTCTCTGCGGTTACAAAGTTTCTGCTACGTTGACACTGACAGCAAATGTACGTCGACATCCTAAAGTGGCAACAAAAGGTCGTTTTGACGAAAAAAACATTTACTAAATGGAACAAAAACAGACGATCTCATTATTCAGTTAGGTATCACGTGACCATAGCGGAAACTCTTATATAGAGGAAGTCACGTGACGTATGATGTATTCACTATTTCTCCCCCTATCTCCTATACTATTCGGGTCGCTATTCTCTTCTCTGCTCTATTCACTATTCGAAATACCATTACTACGAGTATTATTCTGCAGGATGTACCGTAACTCCGCCTTCATCCATAATACGCACACGTAAAATTGTGCTGAAAGTTTTTGGAAAATACTTCTACTCACGCATAATACGCACCCCTTGTTTGGTAATGAAACCCTATACGGTTTCATTACCAAATTGTACCTCTCCAATTTCATTACCGCCAGCGTATCCTACTCTTATTTAAAAAAAAATATTTTAATCATAGAATAATATTATTCTAATTTAGTTTTATGATAATTCTTATTTTATTTTCCAGCAAATGTTTTAACATTTTTGTTCCTGTGCATAATACGCACCCCTGATTTTGCTTATTATTTTTTAGAAAAAATGCGTATTATACATGTGGAATTGCGGTATATATATATATATATATATATATATATGTGTGTGTGTTTAAAATTTTAAACGTGTATTCACCCTCACTTCCAATGACCGATGCCCAATCAAAAGGCAACAAAGATTATACGCTCCCAGAAAACCGTTCTATTTTCCGAAAAGAAATATTTGAAACGGCCTTTTCAACTTGAAGGATTATGAATACGCTTTACTAATGAAATATTCTTGTGATAGAAAGAAATGTAGGTGATGAATTTGGTGAGTACGCAGGATTTGAACGAACCGCTCTTTTTAAGGATCTTATTTTTTGCAGCTATGCATAATACGCACCCCTGATTTTGCTTATTATTTTTTTTAGAAAAAAAAGCGTATTATACATGGGGAGGTACGGTAGTTTATAGTCATACCTAGGACGACGCTTTTGAAGAATCTTTTTCTTTCGACATATAATTTTAAAATGTCTATCTTTTTTTTTTCATCTATGTTTAAATTATTCGTCTGGAAATTCCACCAAAACAATAAAATAAGTTATCGTTGTAATGATATTGAGGACAAATAGTAATTAGTTTCAAGACTTTTCCAGTCGATAACAAGGTAAATGTACACAATGATCAAGTAGTTACTTACATTGAACAGAAATCACTTATTTTATTAGCATGGTTCTCTCTGAAAGGACTGTTACAAAATATAAACAATTAATCATTTAGCTGAAGTAAAATTCAGACAAACAAAAAACAGTTCAAAATGTCTTTCTCTTCCTGGGTATGACGATAAATTATAACCGGCACTAAGGCGATTGGGAAACTGGAGGTTTTGAGGAGCGTGGAACCATCTCTACTGTTGTTCCAAGGTCCACCCTAACACGGGGCGGTGGTACCTGTTGGGGTCCAAGCTATAGGTAAATAGTGGACCACCAAACAAAATTCAACAGTACATGTTATAATAAAATGACCAAAAATTCATTTTTATAGCAAAATAACAATCAATGCGGCACTAAAATAATATAAAATACATTTTATAGTAAAATTAGCAACAATACATTTTATGATCTACAAATTATATATATAACAAAAACATACCATTACCCTGAATGTATAAAATTAGGTGCAATATATCTGTAATTGAAAACATAAAATCACGTACCAAATATTTAGATTTCGGCATTAAATAACCCATAGGTTGATTTGCCGTTAAAGAATATCCACCAGCAATGTCTTTCAAGCAGAGCCAGACACAGTGTAAATGTTATGTCCTTATGTTTCGTATTTTTGGGGATCGGGAGGTATCTTATTAAAAATGTGCGAAGCATATGCGTAAGTAAAAGTTTAATGGTGATAAAACTGATCGTCAGACGCAATAGATTCTCCAGTGCCATTGTTCGCACCTATTTCTACGCATTAGTGACGTCTGCAACTCCTCACAAGATAAATGGCCACACTCACGAAAAATAAAGATTAAACACTAACCAAATCTTGTGGTCTATGCTTGCAGGAAAAATTTAAAATCAACATTTCCAGTACAAGAACACCTCCTCAGCAAAGGATCGAAGCTAATTAGCAATTGTAGACATATAAACAATTTTTATCGAGCCAGTTAGCAAATTTACTGACATAACAACAACAATAATAATAATAACAATAATAAAATAAAATAGATAATAAAAGTACAAACCATACCTTACGAAGGGTTCTATGTATGTAAAATATGTTCGATTTTTTTTTTCAAAACTGCTCAATGGAAAATGTCACGATGCCATTTCTGACCTTAGGTCTCTGGTCGAGATCCGGAAAGAAATGAGTCCACATCAGAAATCAAAGGAAATAAAAAAAAAATTATTATTATTCCGATGATGATGATAAAAAGAACATGTAGGAATTTAATTTTATTTAATGAATATTTATACGTTTGCTTTGATCCACTCTTCATGCGAGGGGTCGAAGTCACCACCCAAAAGGAGTGATCAATTGAAATGGCTCTCAACAAGCTGGCATCTATTTGTAAAACTTTCTTTAATTATAACAAGCCAATTTATGAATGAAATGTTCATTTAAAATTTTTGTTTCAAAGATTTCAAATAGTGAATATATCTTACTTTGCGAAGTGATAATGAGCGGGCGAAGCCAGCTAGTATAAAATAAAAGTTAATATGAATTTTGACAAATTTACCAATAACACAAAACAACAGAAGATTTAATTAATAAAAAAAAATGATTAGGTGCTCAGCTGCCCGGCGACCCTACGATCACACCTGGTCACGGGGCTTATGACGAATGATGATTTTCCCACCATCAACTTCTCTCTACTCTCAAATCCTTCACAGAAATGTTATGAATTTCTTACGTAAATGGTGAATATCTTGTCTGATAAAGAATCTTTCCCAACTGTTATTAAACATCTGTTAAAACTTGTGGCTTTTTTAAGTGGGAAGAGACGTGACGTGCTCCGCTAAGCAGGCAGATGGGTGGAACTATTAGGAGATCCCATGACCAAAAAGAAATTAGAAAAGAAACTGAAACAAGAAAGAAAAAAAATGAAAGATGAGAAAACTGAAGAAAGAAAGAAAGAACATTTAGAAAGAAAGAAAGAAAACATTTATAAATAAAAAGAGTACAGTTAGAAAGAAAGAGCATAAAGAAAGAAAGAAAGAAAGAAAGAAAGAAAGAAAGAAAGAACATAAGGAAAGAAAAAAGAAAGAAAGAGCATAAAGAAAGAAAGAAAGAAAGAAAGAAAGAACGTTTAGAAAAAAGAAAGAAAGAAGAAATGAAAGATGAGAAAACTGAAAAAAGAAAGAAAGAAAGAAAGAACATTTAGAAATAAATAAAGAGTACAGTTAGAAAGAAAGAAAGAAAGAAAGAAAGAAAGAAAGAAAGAAAGAGAAAACATATGGAAAGAAAAAAGAAAGAAAGAGCATAAAGAAAGAAAGAAAGAAAGAAAAAAAGAAAGAAAGAAAGAAAGAAAGAAAGAAAGAAAGAAAGAAAGAAAGAAAGGAAAGGAGAACCATTAGAAAGAAAGTAGGCTGGTGATGTATAGAAAGAAAATAATATTTAAAAAAAGTAAAAAGTAACATTAAAAAAGAAAAATAAAGATTGATTATATCTAGAAATAAAGAATGATTATATCTAGAAAGAAAGAAAGAAAGAAAGAAAGAAAGAAGGATGCGCATATGTAACCTGATAAAGCACTTAATATTGGAAATGAGTTCAATTCACATTGAATGATTCACAATGTGGCTTTGCTCCAAGTCCGAAGAAATCAAATCCCTGTGATTAAATAACTAGAAATTCATAAAATTATCTTACAAAATGATCAGGTGTTCATATGTGTGCTTATTCATAATGATGTGGGTGGCAGTTTCGTCAGTCATTTATTGATACATAGTACCGTACTAAATATGGAACACAGAGTCTAACTCAAACTTTCTGCCGCAATAATGGTCTACAAGACTGTTTTTTAATTGATTACTCAACAATAAGGGGTTCTTAATTCATTGTTTAATCTGGATAATCTCGCATACCCTGGGGGGACATAATTTCATTTTTTGAATTCTGATTCAAACCAGAGCCATGTCTACGTTTTTATTCTAGAGCAAATCAAGCCTATGTCATTTTTTTGACTCCAATGTTTCCTGTTTAGTAATGAATTTCCGGTTCTTTCTAAAGTCTTCTCATTCTCTTTCACTCAATAACTCCTTGCGTCTTAGTGGAATTATCGCCTTGTTTGAGGTGAATTGATTTTTTTTTAAATTTGAAAACCGGAACAGATATCCAAATGTTTTGACTCTAGTGTAATACCAGACATATGTCTACTTTTTTTTTATTCAAGGGTAACTGAAGCCATATCTATCTTTTTTTTATTCTAATGTAAAACCACACCATATTTAGCTATTTGATTCTAATGTAAATTGAACTGATGTCTATTCTAGTGAAGACCGAAACCATATCTTTTTTTTTATTACGATGAAGACCAGACTCACGTTTATCTTTCTGATTCTGGTGTAAACCGGACCCATGTGTGCCTTTTTGATTCTTGTGAAAATCAGAGCTATCTCTACCTTTTTTGATACTAGTATAAACCGGACCCATGTCTGCATTTTTTCATATAATACAAACTGGAATTGTATCTACCTATCGATTAATTCATTGTAATCTTTGTCCAGTAAGATTTATATTTGACTTAAGTTACCCAATAAGGATTGATAACGATTTACTAAGCGAAACTTAGAAAGTATGGAGTTCCCAGTGAGGATCGAACTCACTACTCAGTCGTAACGTAACTTGTTAACGTCCAAGTGTCCAATCAACAATGGTTGGTATGACTTTAAGTTACCCAACCTAAATTCACGATATTGTCTATTAAGTAATTGTTAAAGTCTTTGGAGAATCTTTTTACTCGACACGATCATTGTATTCAGTCTATATTTGCTAAAGAAAAGGCGTCCAGAGTAAGAAAACTGTTAAAATGTGATAGTTTTATGAGAAGAAATCTGTGAAGGCGAGATAGAAATTTTATTGTAAAATGAGAAATATAAATTTCAAACGACCGGGGTTTGATCAAATGTTGACAACTATAAGAACATGATGACACGATAATTTCAGTAAAGTACATCCCAATCGATGGGTAGCAGATTTAGTAAGATAATAAGTTGTAGCCGATCGCAATAACTAATTCCCGATCCTGTCGTCTAGATCATGGCAGGATATGAGAAATCTTAGCAATAATCGTTTATTTGGGGTAGTGAACTGGACAAAAGAACAAAGTTTGTTACTGAGTTAATTGTGAGATTTATGTACCTCTTTATGTTTTAACAGGATAATTTCCTGTTTTTTTAGGGGGGGGGCTAACTCCAAATACGTGATGGTAAAGATATATAAAAAGATACACGCTTGAGCGAACATTTCTCTTTCGATTCGTAACAAAATAGACAAAAGATTTTACAGCAATAGGCTGCTGTTTCTTTCTGCGTTACATACAGACTGAATCATATAAGCACTGACTATAGGACCTAGTTTGTCTTGTTATTTAACCCATAGCGGGGGGAAGAAGAGATGGATTCATGCCTTTTCGAAGGGTGTTTGCGCGTAAATGAATGTAACAAAGCCGACAGAAATTCGACCTCGTTACCCATTACTTCACATCCAATTTTACCGTATTTACTCCATAATCTGTACCATTCCTTTAGCATTGCTTGTTATTCGGACTATTGTCTTCATCTTTGTCGCCATATTTATTACAACGTCGTACGCTCCGGCCTTCTTCAGGTGGTTGGAATGTCGAACTGAACCCTTTATTTCGCTCACTGGGGTAGACTGTTCTAGTTCCACGTGCCATGTTTAATGGATGTCAGTTATCAGTTATCTCCTGTTAATTCCCCTCTCCAAGTTCTTCACTGCCTTAACCAGGTTATGAACTCACACTCTTTGGGTCCTGTCATTGAATCTAACCAACCCCTTTATCCACTGTGCCATGTGTCCTGTTGTAATAAATATGGCGACAAAGATGAGGACAATAGTGCGAATAATGTAAATAGTGTACATAATACCAAATCTCAGAAATATAGACAGATACTGAAGGGTGATAAATATGGCGACAAAGATGAGGACAATAGTGCGAATAATGTAAATAGTGTACATAATACCACATCTCAGAAATATAGACAGATACTGAAGGGTGATAAATATGGCGACAAAGATGAGGACAATAGTGCGAATAATGTAAATAGTGTACATAATACCACATCTCAGAAATATAGACAGATATTAATATGTTTGCTTTTAAATATCAATAAACACCTCTTTTTGCATGTTGGTCATTCAGGAGTTTGTTTTATTCTAGTTTAAGCATTGTTTTCGCATTCTTTAATTTCCATATTTTTTATTCTGTGGTTGCATGTGTCTCGAAGGTGGTCGCTCTCGCAGTCTGCATTTGAATAGGTTTTACAAATAAACCAACCATTTCAGAACCTTTTGTTATGTAATCGATCTAATTCACTGTGTCTTCTTTCGGACTTCTCCATGTCCATAAGCGTCTTGGATGACCAGGTTTTGGTTATTATTTGGTCGTTTGCTGTACACCATTTCACCCATCTTTCGCCGCGTTTGTTCTTCACCCGAAGCTGCCAACTATTTCACCGTCTCATTCCTATCCGTCTTTGGCACTCAGGTCTGCCATGATCATAATTATGGTACATTTCATTGGCTTTGCATTGAGCCTTAACGTTATTCAGTATGCTGGAAAAGTTGCCAATTCCTTCTTCTGCGCTTCGTGCTGTTGGTGTGTAAAGAGCATGAAGAGCCATGATTGTCCACGTCTTAAATGCACATGGTACATTTAAAAAGTACTTATTCTATGTCATGTAGAGCATTGCTTGTTGTTATTGATGTTGCTTGAGTAAAATTTAAACGAAAAATATATTATATATGCTGCTAAGAAATAAAATATAATCACCTAAAATTAATTTCAATTATTTCGGTTGACATAAAAATGTTGTTATAAATAATTGCAATCTATTTTTACATGTGTATTCTTTCACCAATAAAGCTCGTTGGTTTATTTGTTTTTGATGTTTTCCTACGCCTTACCACATATTTACTTACTTTTAAATCTAGCCGCTCAGTCCGAACAATTTACGTTACTTCTACTTACCAAGGTTGCAATGGACGATCAAGATTAATTTTTAATAATAGAAATTACAGCATATTATCTTAGTGCAGTGTTCGCATATCTGAATTTTCATAGTTTAAGCATTTTTTAAATATGGGAGCGCTTCTCTTTGAAAGGAGTAAAAATCCAAGGTATTATCGAACAGCGAGATACCCAGGATGCGCGGGCAGTCCAACGACGTACGTTTGAAGCAAATAATGGAATCGTGGATCCAAGTTCAAATTTCGGTCTAGTTTGCTTCGTTCACTTTGTGGCAATGTTTAGAAATGTATGAATACATATCCCCTAAGTTATGGATTAAATAGTAACATATACTAGACTCTATAGTCTTGGATGGCAACCAGTTTAGGAGAAAGACAACTTTAATTCAATTTAGTAACAGGAAACCACTCTTATATTTCACAAGTTGCCATCGTAATGCACAGATGACAAAGAGAAGCTGTGGAAAGTCATGATTGCCTACGTCCTGAAGAGACATGGCATAAAAACATTTTTAAAAAAACACAATGCGTCCACAGATACACGTGAGAATTTTGGCATTCTGGTAAGTTTGTCTGACAAGAGGTGTGGTGTTTAAAAAACGGTTCGCAGAAAGTGATTAAACAATCCTAAGATCATTCTCGGTAAAATCCTTGTTTGGGACTACAAAGTCTACAGAGATCTGGTTCTCCCTCTTCTCAGTTGCTATGATGGACTTGTAACGTTCCTTCATCGCCGGTTGCTATGATCGTCTTGTAGCGTTCCTTCATCGCGGTTGCTATGATCGACTTGTAACGTTCCTTCATCGCCGGTTGCTATGATGGACTTGTAGCGTTCCTTCATCGCCGGTTGCTATGATCGTCTTGTAACGTTCCTTCATCGCCGGTTGCTATGATCGACTTGTAGCGTTTCTTCATCGCCGGTTGCTATGATCGTCTTGTAGCGTTCATTCATCGCCGGTTGCTATGATCGACTTGTAGCGTTCCTTCATCACCGGTTGCTATGATCGCTTTGCAGCGTTCCTACATCGCCAGATGCTATGATCGACTTGTAGCGTTCCTTCATCGCCGGTTGCAATGATCGTCTTGTAGCGTTCCTTCATCGCCGATTGCTATGATCGACTTGTAGCGTTCCTTCATCGCCGGTTGCTATGATCGACTCGTAGCGTTCCTTCATCGCCAGTTGCTATGATCGACTTGTAGCGTTCCTTCATCGCCGGTTGCAATGATCGTCTTGTAGCGTTCCTTCATCGCCGGTTGCTATGATCGTCTTGTAGCGTTCCTTCATCACCGGTTGCTATGATCGTCTTGTAGCGTTCCTTCACCACCCGTGTATAAGACAAGTAGCGAATCGGGCTACATTTGAAAGTCAGGCGCATTCAATTGACTCTATTCTTATTAATTGGTCAAGTTGATTCAGTTTGTTTTATAAGTAGCCAAAAATGTAAGTAGAGTAATTCAAAACTTAAACTGAAACTTTAAAAACCCCACCAATCTAGCAACACTGCGCCCATAAACAACAATGATTTCATTTTATGATCCTTTTCATCTATCCGCCTCATCTTAGCTGCTTAAAAGTCCAGCTTCCTATTTTTGTAGCGGAGCTTTCAATATTCAACGATTACATTACAAGGAGACAACATATTGCAAAAATGGAAGGCTTTTTTCTCATCATTAGTCAAAGGCATACTTTATATTGTTGCTATATGTGTTATTATATAATAGAAATGAATTCTACTGAAAACTCGAATAGCTAAAGTCTGAGCCGCTCTGAATAAAATGAATATAACCTGGAAATCTGATCTACAAGACAACCTCAAACGGAGATTATTTCGTACCACTGTAAAAGCAGATATATGGTGCCACTGTCTGGTCATTAACTAAAACCCTTGAATCAAAGCTTGATGAACATATAGTCGGATGCTGAGAGCTAAACTTATGTGGACACATCACTGATATTTATACAATCCTACACAAACGCAGAATGCGCTTTGCAGGACATTACTGGTGAGTAAAACAAGAACTTGCAAGTGATCTACTGCTCTGGACACCTAGCCATGGCGCAAGACAGTTTGGTCGCTCAGCAACCGCCTACATCGACCAGCTATATTATGACACAAAGACCTAATGACCTTCCGATCTTGATACAGAACCGTGATGCTTGGTGTGATAGACCCATAAATGTCTACGCTATCTAGCTCGAACGAATAATAAAATAATAATAATTGTAGTAATATTAGGTTGAGTCAGAAGTCATTTTAGTTTTTGTCTACCAGTTTTATTCTCCAAAAAATAAAGTTCAATTATATTTTATTCAATTGCATATTCTGCAGTATTTGCAATGACTTGTTGCCACATTCCGCAGTTTTTGTTGTTTTTTTTATATGAAAAAGGTTTTGCGACCAACACTTGGATTTGGTTTTCATTAAGGAATTTTTCCCCATCAAAACATTTTGCAGTAATCTAAAAACATAATTAAGCAGCCTCGCGTTGTCCTTGGAGTAACAACATTTTTCTTTTAATCCATTTTATACGCTGACACTGCCTTGCAAAAGCTAAGTTGCATTAATGCACACCAAATTTATACATTCGTCACAGCAATTGGTCACCCAAAAAAGAGGAATTACTTTTGATTCAACCTAATAGAAAGATATAAAGTGCTGCAAGTATAGGAAAAAGATAAATAAAAACGATAAAGGAAAACTAAACAAAATGGATGACAAAGTCCATATCTAGGGTAGAGAAGACGGTTAACCACTTTGTTGCTTTGGTTTTTAGAGATAATCAAGAGACTCTTAGAATGACTTTTGAAAATTTCCCTGTTTAACGGCTGAAAAACTGATTAGCTCAAGCGTCGTGATAAAAACCAACAAAAGCAAAAAGGGTGCTAGACATAACTAAATGATAGCAATGTGTGGAACAATGAAAATACTCGGAATCTCAAGACAATTTGAGAGTGTTATCACGGTCTCTATATAGTTAACAATACAGCGTGGGATAAAGAAATAGACAATGGCGGAAAGATTACAGATAAGAGCCCTGCTGGATCATAACAAGTTTGGTAGTGTACATGGCTGAACGAATTGCGGAAGTAGCAGATACGGGTTAAGAAGCTGTCGTCTGAAGAAACTTATTTACTTCAAAATCTCTTAGATTGGTGACTGGAAGAAAAAAAAACGAATCGGTTAGAAATATTGCAATAAAAAAGTTAAAGATATGAAGACAAAAGATAAATGTGGAAAATGTTTTAATCGAATATAATATATGATAAGGAGCTGAAAAATCCTCTGAACCACTTCCCAAAATGTAACCAAACATCAGATTGTTTTTATTTTTATTTAAGAGATTTTCGGTCAAGCTGTGAAAACTTTCAGAGACTCCTTGTATAATAATTAAGGTTGTTTTTTTTTATATATATATATATATATATATATATATATATATATATATATATATATATATATATATATATTATAGTTTTAAGGTCTGGTATATTTATGGGTAAAAGTGCTCAATAAACTGCGAGAGAGCGCATGTAAATATAAAAGTGGACAGTGAGGTCAACCCCGAGTGGTGACTGTCCATTTCATGCTTGAACGCAATCTTAAGACCATATTGACCTCAGTGTACACTTTCATATATATATATATATATATATATATATATATATATGTGTGTGTGTGTGTGTGTGTGTGTAAGTTGATGTTTTTTGTAGCTCCATGTTACAGGTTATTGTTGCCGAGAGTTGTATAAATTGATGATCATGTCAGACTCTATGCTCCGTTCAGCATAATTGCAGTATAACTACTGGATGCCTCAAATTCAAGCGTGCCTGAGTAGATGACTGCAACAGGGATTATCTAGCCTTTATAGTAAACATGTATACTCGGAAACGAGCGGATAGATAGATAGATAGATAGATAGATAGATAGATAGATAGATAGATAGATAGATATTAATTGAAGGACAAAATGAAAAATTCTGTGTAATGCGTTTCGTCCTCTAAAATAAGTTCATCGGTGTAAAATAATATTTTTATTGGTGGAATTATATATTTTAGGAGATATATATATATATATATATATATATATATATATAAACCTAAATGTTGATAATAATTATATGAGAACAGTAAATTTAAACATTTTTAGTTTTAAATATTTTATTTAATTTTTATTTAATGTTTGGCGTTCAACATCCGCGCAGCTTAACACATCTCATTTAATTTCCCAATGTTTTTATTTTCATAGCTTTGGTTTTTCAGTTCACATTGTTACAACAGAAGATCCGACAAGAAAGGTGAAACGTTGTAAGAATATGAACGCGGTATTAGTGTGTTTTAGTAATCAGTGCACTTTCTATACATTTTCGTCTTAGTAATTTTCTCTCTCTTAATTAAATCGGTATTGTTTTTAAATAGTAATTATAGTTAGACTCATTATGCATTGAACGTGCTGTTTTGTAAAAGATCCCTTTTGTGTCCCTATAATCTTTTAACATTCTTCGAAGTCTATTCTACGTATTCTTTGCCGCAATCATTACAGGCTATTGTTAAAGAATGAGAAGGCCAAGACTAGAATGGTTAGCGATTGGCCGGAGTTTCTTGAGGAAGTAATATTCTGATATTGATGGATTGCCTTTGCCTGGGTTTTGGATATAAGTACAAAACGGCGCGAATTCAACTGAGGGCCGCAAGAATTTTGGAGCGCCGATACCCTTCCCAGGTTGAGAGACAGACTAAGACTACTTATGGAGGGAAGCTGAGCCACCGTGCAAGATGCGTTCCCGTGACGGGCTATCTCCCGCTGCCTCTTAGAATCCAAGCTGCCACGCCTAACCACCCCCACACTTCTAATAAATATGAAAAAGAAATCGTCTTTTTCATTGATATTATTTTATGTAGTGTTGTGGTGACCCAAAGACGGCACAGAGCTAAACACAATTGAGTTTGTATTCATTAAGTCTCTTATTGTTTTAAACGTAGCTGTAGAAAATTGCATATTAGTTTACATACGTAATTTCTTTTATCACAACTCTGTAGTTGTGAATAGAAATATACGAGATCATTCTTATTAGTAGACTTACGATAGCGACGTAGTTTTAGGTAATTGTCCATATGGATTAACATGATATCTATGAAAGGTAATGTGTTGTTTGTTTCTGTTTGATAAGTAAATTCCATCGTACGTTCGGTTTTGTTGAACTTATCCACGAGATCAGGTAATACTGTTTTGCGGTAATGTATTAATAAAACATCGTCAAGGAAATATGATTGTTTAGGTAAAATACTTTGGAAAGGAGCAGATTCAATAAATTCTAAGAACAGACAAGCTAAAATTTTGCTAAGAAGCGATTCCATCAGCAAACTGAATTTTTATTTATAAAAATCATTGTTAAAAATGAAATGACATTTGTTTGTGATGAGTCGGCAATTTTCTTATGATTTCATCTATTATTACAGAGAAATTTATTTTTGATTGTACTTGATGATTTCTTTTGTTTGTCTTTTAATTCAAGCATTTTTGACAGGAACGTTGGTATAAATCTAAACAAGCCATGAGTTTATCTGTCATATTTATTCCCTATAGTTTTTCGACCAGTATGGGTTGATTGTTCCAAGAAGAGATATTAAACTATGGGGAGTACTACTAATTATTGATACTAGCCAAATATCCGTCTTACAAATATTTCTCTTAATAATAATTTAAAGATAATTTAGCAGACGATGTTATTTTATTTGTGGTAAGAGGATTTTTGGCGATTGCCTTACTTGGTTTCAGTTGTTTAATGCTGTGCGTCTTAAAAATGTCGATTTTTATCGCGGTCGCTTATCGCTTCTCAGCCTGACTCAGAAGCTATGAGCATATTGTAGCGATTTTCCAAGCGTAGCTGAGATGTGGCACAAAGTCGAAAGTATGTGGCACCTAGTGAGAATCGTACTTACTACCCATTTGTAATTGTGCTAGAAGCATATTATAGTATCTGTTCCACGGCCTCGACCGCCTATGAAAAAGCTATGAAAGCTATGAAAGCTAAGAAAAGCTTTATGTCCAATCCTGCGTAAGCGGGGTTGGGTAAATTTTAACCAATGACCCGAGTGTTCGCGCTCGGGATCCCCACATTAAATAACTGACCTTGTCTCACACCGTAATTCAGAGAAGGGGTGTGAGAGTAAATACTATCGCTTCTCGACATTTTGACGGGATCAAAGTGTAATATCTGCTCTCGGGCGAATAAACTGCATTTTATCTCTCAGTTGTGTCTCTGCGGACAGAGCGCAACTGAAAATATTACTGAGAGATGCACCGTCTCGGAAAACTTGCGGTGGCTGGGCTTATCTTTAAAAAATTAGGAGATCGTCCAATCACGCTACCTTGGTTTCAACCTTTCCGTATCCTCAGAAGATAGAGGCCAAATGATTTCCTAACGCTTTATTATTCATATATAACGTGAAGTGTAATAAAAGTGGGGAGGGGGGCTCAATACACGTGCGAATTTATACGGGTATTAAGCACTTTTTAACACCCCCCCCCGCTTTCCCCGAAATATTTCTTTCTGCATGTTTAATTTTTATTTCATTTATACGGGTATTAAGCACTTTTTAATACAACTGTTTCCTGGTCTAATTCAACTCTAACCAATAACAGGTTTATATATATATATATATATATATATATATATATATATAGAAAAAAGTTTCAAATTGAAAATTATAATGTTTTATTTTTGTATTTATTTTTTTATATATATATTTGATATTTCAAATTGTCCTCAATTTTTCATCAGAAATAACTGTTTGTTACAAATAAATTAAAATTACTGTTTGTTATCAAGTAGCGGACGTCACGTGATATGCAACGTCACTGTTCGGATATTCTAACTTAAATCTAACTGTCATAAATATTTAAAACAATTTTTTACTATATCTAAAAAAAAAAACTAGGGTTGAATAGGGACTTAGGTGTTTTAAATCTTTATAAATATTTCAATAGTTAAGCAATTTTTTTTTTTTTTTTTAGATATAGTAAAAAATTGTTTTAAATATTTATGACAGTTAGATTTAAGTTAGGAATATCCGAACAGTGACGTTGCATATCACGTGACGTCCGCGCTACTTGCTAACAAACAGTAATTTCTGATGAAAAATTGAGGACAATTTGAAATATCAAATATATATATAAATAAATAAATACTTTCATAAAATAAAACATTATAATTTTCAATTTGAAACTTTTTCTATATATACATATTAAGAAAGTATACGTGGCTTATCATTTATATATATATATATATATATATATATATATATATATATATATATATATATATATATATATTAATAAATATACATATTATCCAACGTCATACTTTTAAAGCTCTGTTAATAACATCGAGCGCTGTTTCAATAATACCAAAAGTTTATGTGAAAAAAAAAATTATATATATATATATGTATGTATATATATATATATATATAGATATAGATATATATGTATATATGTGTGTGTGTGTATGTAGTGTGTGCAATTCATATATATATATATATATATATATATATATATGTTGAAAACAAATATTTATGAATTTAACCTTGTTTCGGAATTCTGGCCTAGAAATCATCGTGTAAGTGACATATCCATTACGCCAGCGATCTGTTGCTTGAACACCACATTAAATTTAATTTGTAAACACAAATTTGGACAGAGTGCACAGACGTTACACTAATCTTCGGCAGATGACATGGGAGCGGTATTTTGATCTGAGATAGAGGTGCCGATCCAAGCTTAAATAATACCGTCATTTTTACGGGTATTATGCAAGCTTAAAATAAATTCAAGTCGACATTTTTTTAAATAAATTTCTACGACTTTTTTCGTTAAAGCACATGAGAGAAAGATTATTAGCTTCCCACCGGAATTCCAACAAATCCAGAAAATCCTTGCATAGTCATGTGTGACGAAAATTTCCTCGGATTTCTTTGGTATGAAGAATAAACTAAATTTAACGAACGCTCTGAGAGAAATCTTTTTCCCTGGCTCTCTTTTTCGTAAGATGTTATATTCTTAATCAGAAATTATATATTCAACTTTTTTTGTGGAAATATACACTGAAAATACTTAGCCTCGTTGGATTTGAAATTATTTCAAGAATGAAAAGTACCCCTAAAATCTGTTTGTTGATAACGAATCGGAAAAAATGAAACATTTGAATTAAATATATCTTAAGAACAAAATAGCGTAAGTAAATAATCTCGTAAAGAAGATAGGAATAGCGTTGAATTAAGCGTTCGTTTCCAAAACCATATGTCGGAGAGGAGAAGAATATCTTTATTATTTCAAGATAAGTTTGATTATATAAAAATTCCATTTATGTACAAACTCAGAACAAAATCGTAAAATAATAAATTTGTGTAAAATTATAAGAGAAACTATCGTAGAATCAACAACATAAAATGAAGGTTGAAATTACACGGAACTAAACATTTAATATCGGAGAGTTCTTCAATATGCTGTATCGATTATGGACGTGGGTGATCATTTTCGACACCTGGCGAAACTCTCTCACCACCCACATACACATATACTCATACACACAGAAACATAGATATAAATACATATATATATATATATATATATATATACACACTGAAACCTAACAAACTCCATTCGCAACATACTTGTAGAAAATACAAGTATAATAGCATCATCCACATGTTTAAAAAGAAAAGACTAAAAATAATGGAAGCAAAAAAGAAAAAGCCTACACTGAATAACATCAACTATGAACACGACCATAATATGCTGACCGTGTTTTGAAAATATAGCATTCCTATAACTCTACACGCATACATAAAAAATATACATCCATATACAATAAAAATCGCCTTTGATAATGGTTAAAAGAATAGCCAAAAGCTCTCGGATATGCAGAACATTTGGACAATTTTACAGACTTTATGTCCAGAAAAGAAAATACTTATTCGAACACAAGACACCCACACACTTATAAATAAATAAATATATATATATATATAGAGAGAGAGAGAGAGAGGGAGAGAGAGAGTGTGTGTGTGTTTCGTTATTGTGGGCAACCAATACATTTTGTGTTCATATAATCTTTTATTTAGATTCCTTGTGGTTGCTCTAATGTATTTTTGTGACAATTATTACAGGCGATAGAGTGAATTCCCCCTTCAAGTCTTAGCCTATTGTTTTTTGTTTTTGTTTTTAGTATTGATTAAGTCTTTTATTGTTTTGGATGTAGTAGCAACAATTTTTTGCTTGTTTAGATAAATTCTTTTCCATTTTAGTTGTGATAGATTTAGTTGGTAGAACAATATTTTTTTAAATGCTACTCTGATCAAAGGAGAAAGCAATTCATATGACCGACTCAAGAGTTTGGCGACGAAACACTCATCAGTTGTTCAATATATTCTTTTGAACAGGAGTACAGATTCGTCCATTGTGTTCTGTTTAGTATTGCGTTTTTGGTTCCTTCTAAAGTCGACTTCAACTCTATACTCCTAACGACTCTGCCTGAACTCTGAAATTTTAATCTCTAATTAAATCTTGACCTATTCTAGTCTAGAATTATCTATCTTTACTGTTATCTTACCCTTTCTTACACTAATTCAACTCCACACAGTAACCCTTTACCTTGAGTGGCTTTTGGGCCTTGTATTAGGTGAACATTAGTAAAAAAAGAAAAGATAGATATGCGCAAATTGAGATAGATAGATAGATAGATAGATAGATAGATAGATAGATAGATAGATATCACCTCTTATCGTTGGCGTCATCTGACAGAGACAAAAAGGAGTAAGATGTAGCAGAGGCCATAAAAAAACTTTCTCAGGTACCGCAACTAACGGATTGGTGATTCTTACACTGAAACCAGTACCGCGCACTCGGTTTGAAATTTACCCATTAATATATATATATATATATATATATATATATATATATATATATATATATATATATATATATTCAGTAAGTGGCAACAGGAGTGGTTGAAAATGATGAACCTTCCAAAAACTCTACTGCACCCCACATATCAACTAAATAAAAAAAAATTGAAATTATCTTACTCATCAATATATATATATATATATATATATATATATATATATATATATATATATATATGGAGAGAGAGAGAGAGAGAGGGTGTACTGGTGTCATATTTGGGCAGGAGCTGTCCAGTCCTTACTTTCCAGTCACGATTCCAAAAGCGTCTCCGCTTCCTTGTGGGTGACAAATTATTTACCACCCTGCAACCCCTCTCTCACAGATGCAAACTTCGCAAGACTCTCACTGCTCTATCGCTACTTCCAAGGAAGGTTCTCAGGCGAACTACATTCCTTAGTTCCTCCAGTTCTAACGTTCATGGCTAGGATCCGCCATCGGAAGCACATTCCCTCCGTATTTCATTGGTAAGAAGTAAGTTCCACTCGAACAACTTCCCTCAAACCACTACTCTGTGGCATAGACTCCCAAAATGGTTCTTTTTTCGTTCACTACAATCTTAACCTGTACAAGTCTAGGGTTAATCGATATCTTCCCAGTATATCCGCATAAAATGTGCCTCTTATACTGTACCTCCCGTTCGCCTTGTACAGGGTGAACCCCACTGTAAAAAGAATGTTATTACTATAAACGTTATTATTGATGGTAGACGTGTTTGAGTTGCAATCCCAGATTTTTTGAATATTTTTTTTTTATTAAACAGTAAAATTAATCGCAACCAAGCTAAAATGAGAAGTCCTATTAAAGAAAAATCGTATCCCATACCGGAATCGAACCTGCATCCCTTTTATTTTAATCAGGGAAAACACATTTTGATCCAAAGTGTCCTCTACCAGTTCAACCAAAGGAGCGAAAATTTGTTATTAATTTCACTGTTTAATAAAATAAAAAAAAACACAAGGCTAGCAAATCAAACACGTGTACCCACTAATATTAATTTAATTTTATTGGGAAACTTGAAGCAATAAAAATATGATATATATTATTCTGCTTTCACAATCGAATACATGGTAGATGATACTCTGCTTTTGTGCATATACATGTTTATGTGAACTTGATTGCTAGAGACGGTGATACGTGCATTTTATGTTGTAGTTTTGTTGAAATGATATTTTGGAATACAGTTTGATTTCTTTAAGAAACTGTAGAATCTTATATGAACTAATCTTATGCTAGAGTTCTTACATGTTGATTGTTTGGTTGGGTGATTTTGTTTGGCGGTATATCAACCTCCATAGATTATTTAATGCCGAAATCTAAAGATTTTGTGCATAATTTTATGCTTTCAACTACAGATATTTTGTACATAATTTTCTACTTTCAGAGTAAAGGTATGTTTTTATATACATATTTTATACATCATAAAATGTATTGTTGGTAATTTTACTATAAAAACTTACTGTTGATTTTTGTGTTGGGGTTCACTATTTGTCCATAGCTGGGACCCTAACAGGTGCTACCACGCCAGGTCAGGGTCAGCCTAGGAAGAATAGCAATTGAGACGTGGTTCCAAGCTCCTCAAAATCTTCTGATCAGAGGCCTTGCTGCCGTATGTAAGTTATCGCCCTATCTAGGACGGTCTACTAATAATAATGTTTTTTGTTTTTTTGTAGTAATTAATAATGTCGGATAAAAATTCCTTTCAAACATTCCCCATATATATATATATATATATATATATATATATATATATATATATATATATATATATATATATATCCTGGTATTCATTGGAAAGTTGAAAGTTTGAAAGTCTTTTTGTGACGTCATGTGTAACGGCTACTGGGAGCGAGGCCGCAGCCTCTCAGTCATTTTCGAAAATCCCTTTGGTAGGCAGAATTCCCTTATCTATATCCTGGTATTCGTTGTATAGGTAAAAGTTTGAAATATTCTATGGTGATGTCATGTGTGACGTTTATTGAAAGCGAGGCCGCATTGTTTCAGTTATTTTCAAGGATCGTTTGCTGTGTGAAAGATATAATATCAAAAGACAAAGATATTGTAAAGTTATTGAGTCATTGGTACAGAACGTTGGAAATTGGGTAAAAGTTGATCACATTATAATGAAAATGAAACTGAAAATATTGGCAAAATAAAAGCAATAAAAGTAATCAGGCTTCAAGAATATCACAAAAGAAAAGATTTGACAAAAATTAAAGTAATACTGAAGAAAAGTGGATTGACCGGCAACAAATATCTGGTTCCGCAAATCCTAACAGAGAGAAAAGATGCAGAATAATATGAACATTACCTAAAGAAATGAAAGCAACCAAATTATTACAAAGAGAAGCATGCAAATTTGGCGAATAAGTACATGAAAACCTATTTATCAACAATAACTTTTTTTGATGAATGTAGAGCTACATTGGATGGCTGTGATTGCTGGACTAGAAATGGGTCCTTCGTGGAAACAGCCAATAGCACTTAGAAAACAGCGGCGAAGAGATGGAGCAATGTTTTGAACTACTATTGTAGGAAATTGATGATTATGTTAATATAAAATGCAGAGAATTATTGTAAGTTCTTGAAAAGACGTTTGTTTTTTTTTTTTTTTTTTTTTTTTTGTGTGTGTGTGTAGTACAAGGCCACAACCAAGAAGATTTAAATTAAATCGTGTATTCATTCCTGGGTAAAAGACATTGCTCCTTCACGTTTTACGAAGCTGACTATTATCCACTTTGCGAAAACAAAAAATAATAAAATGGTACTCAAACTCGCCAGATATTAATTCATTCGAAAATTTGTGGTTCATCATAAACAGAAATGTATGTGAGATGAGAAAGAAGAAAAAATATTCTCTTGAAATTAATAAAAATTGCTACAAGTGATGTTAAAGTTAAAAGAGTGGGAAAGTAACAAAATCCTTTTTGGATAACTAATGATTGTTATAGAATGTGAAAGATCTCATATTAATATGTAAAATAAAAAAGTAATTTATTCAAGAATATTCGAGATTTTGTTAATATATGTTTCTATAGACTTTATGTTTTGAATTTATTTATAAATAAAACTTGATATTGCACTTTGTCTGCACAATAAAACATGACTCCCACCCGCGAAACAAGTTATTACCAATATTTTTATAATGGTTAATACTAACACCATATTTTTTGTAATGGCTAATACTAAAAGGATATATAGATATATGTTAATCCTGAATAAAATTACCAATATCGGTTGTATAATACCAATTGTATAGTGAAAATAATGAGAGTGTGCGTGGAAATATTTATAATCAGAAAGACAAATGAATTAATATGTAAATATGTAGACAAGAAAACCACTGCATACAAACCAATGCCCATCTTGTAGATAGACGAGATGATGATTTGAAAGGTTCTCGTGTTCGAACCAGACAAAAATGACGCCAACGACTGCATCAAACAAGATGGCCCCCAAACCTTGAAAACCGTCTCGGCGCATCGGGCGTATATATGCAATTGGCAAAAATGAGGGAAATTGCTCGCTTTATAAGCGATATGAGTTGAATTTTGAGGCTGTTGATGATGATGATGATGATGATGATGATGATGATAGTAGTGGTGA